TAAGACTAAATCTGGTTGTAAGCTGACTCTCTGATGATTCTCTCTTGTCAGGAATGGCCGGTGCAGGTCAGAGTGGAAGTTCACCATTAGTCAGTCATCAGCTCAGGTGGTGGGAGTTTTGAAGATCCAGGTGAGACCTCACCTGACAGATTAGCATAGTGGAGATGAGAAACAAATTGTGATTGTAAAGTGTTACATAATTTGGTTTCCTACAGGTACATTATTATGAGGATGGTAATGTACAACTGGTGAGCCATAAAGAGGTGGAGGAGTCCATTGTAGTGACTGTGAGTAAAAAAGAGATATATTCACATAAGCATTAACCAAAGCAAAGATTTCAACAAAGTAAATTCCTGCCCTTTCCTCTCTAGAATGAAACCCAGACTGCCAAGGAGTTTGTAAAAATCATTGAAAATGCTGAAAATGATTACCAGGTAGAAATTTGACGTCTACATTTTAATTAAGATGCATATTAAATATTTCATATGATTGGTGCATCCCTAATTTTAATGATCAGAATTCCGTTTAACATTTGCGCTGTTTAAATGTTTCCCTCCAGACGGCCATCAGTGAGAACTACCAGACAATGTCAGACACCACCTTCAAAGCTCTCCGCAGACAGCTGCCCGTCACTCGCACCAAGATCGACTGGAACAAGATCCTCAGCTACAAGATCGGCAAAGAGATGCAAAACGCTTAGAAACCGACCCGGTTCCTCTTCCTTCTGTTCAAGTGCGGAGCCGGCGCTCAGAACACCACATGCCGTTCGCTCAGCATGAAGAAGTCTCCCAAAAATTAAAACTAAAAAAAAAAGTCAAAAAAAAAAAAACCTTTTCTGTTTAAAAGAGGATGTGATTCCATTCAACCTTCTGTCATTAATAGACTTGGATGGGTCTCAGCTGTGGATGAGGTTCAAATGAGAACTTGAAGGGAATCGTGGATCTAAATTATCGGCAATTGTCGCTTTTCTCTCATTTACCCGCTCGCAAGTCACTCGAAGAGTTTGTATTGTTTTGATTTTTGTCTTTTTTGTGAACTGTGGCAGCTGCAATGCTTGTGCAAATGGTTTTTGTGTTTTAAAACGGTGGATAAGTAATGCCTCACTCACTGTATCTCCAAACCCCAATCAGACGACAATCCCACCTTCCTCCTCCTCCGCCTACTGACAACCTGGAGAGATGAGATCTCCTGCTGTCCTGTCCTCAACTTTCCGGCCTGTAACAGGGAATGCATGAGATCAGGCGAGGAGGGGAATGGGCTTTGTGTCTGGGTTTGGAGTGGCCATCTGTCTTAACTGCTCTCACCGTATCTTTGTCTGACTCACAGTCTGCTAAACTAAAATGGTTTAATAACCCAAAAAGACAGAATAAATAAATCCATGGATAACCCTCTTTGGTGGCAAAGGCATCCAAATTAAGTCTTGATTTTTATATTTATACACCAGATGAATTTTCTTCACGTATAGAGGTTTAGACTGTATATTACAGGTACTTGTGATGCATTTAGGGTACCCACAGTCTGCAACAAATCCGCAACCCACACAGTAAATCTGAGTCTCTCTCTTGTCCAGAGTACTGAGGGCTCCATCAGTGTTGCAATTGCATGTTTCTGCCACACTGCTTTCACGTTAACCTTGTTTGTCTTGACTGTTCCTTCAAAGAACCTCTGTAAAATACACCCATCCTGTAAGACTGGCATATTCTCTGTCTCATAATCTTTATTTTTTCAGATTTTAAATCATGCAAACGTAACATCTGCTCACAGTAAATGGCACCAAAATGACTAAATGGTTACTTCTGAGCCTTTATTGTGTAAACTGTTGTGTTTGTGCCTGACAAAAAGCAAACTTAAAATAACCTTCATTAGCTTGGGGGATAAAATACAGGTGGTCATAAATTTATTCAACACCGTTAATGTGTAAAAATCATTTGGAAAAATGCAACTAATTTAACAAACTATTTTCATAAAACTAGCTAAAAGTTTAAAAGTCTCGGGTAGAAATATAAAAATTCCAAGTGTCGGTTCAGGTTTATTGATGCACAAAAAAACACATTCCAGTAGTAAAAAATCTAAACTGCTACTTAAAAATGTTTCAGTACAGTAGGAGAAATGGTGAGGTATTTAAAAACAGAAACATTGACAGTAGAGCAGCTGAAACCTATGTAGGACAGATACATGCACCACATTTACTCATAAAAACCCAACATACTTAGTTCTCTCGTAAGCGTATTCATGTGAGCAATACCTTCATGCCAGCAAGATTTTTACACAAACATAAAATCGTGTCTATTTTTATACTAAAAAGTTAAAATGTCAAAAGACTTCAAGAAGGACACAGGTAAGAAAACAAAGTCCCAGGGTAAAGTAATCATTAAATGATGACATTACTCACTTGTGCTTTTACCATGGTTGTGAATCATGTAAACTGGTGCTATAGGTTCTACCTAATATTTAAAAAAATTAAAATTTTAAAGATAAGACTGTACAGTATAAACAAAGATCAGTGATGGAGTAATACATCCAGGCATGGTTATTAGACCCAGACTTACATTCGCAGAACACAACATTTTGACTTGATTGTTGTAAATATTGTTGACTATCATGTCACATGAGAAGAATTTCATTTTTAATCTTCATTTACAGAGAAGGTATTCTGGTTTGGCTGTTGTTTAATGCTGCCCAACCACCAGGTGGCAGCTTCCTGAGCAACGCTTCAGATTGACACTAGAGGACAATGTAGTCATGGTGCAATACAGTAGGACACAAGAGGTTTTCCATGACTGTTTCATATATTAGTTCATATCTCCAGTAGTTAATTTCTAAATAGATTTAGGAAATTAACAGCAACTGCACATCATATTATATTACTGCTTGTCAGAAAACCAATACTTTATATATTTACCATAAACAATATAAATGTCACACATTCGCCAGACACAGATCAAGACAGCATTAGTAGCCTAAGACTGACCGATTGGTTGAAGACTTGGTTAATCACTATTTGCTTAGCATAGTTTTTACTTTATACACTAACATTTTTTTATCTGTGCAGGTCATCAGGAATGGACTAATAGTAACATTTTAGGATAAATAAAAATCTTTTTGTAAAAAAATAAAAACAGAATAAAACATTAAAAGACAGATTAAAATAGTATTTAAATAGATTCGATATTACAGGAGTAGTATTTAAGAGGTTGACTGTGTGTGTTCCTTTCAAACTTTTCACACAGTTAGGATGGGTTGAGCTCAGGCTAAGGTTTGTTCTGGGATACCGACGGTTTTCAGTGAGGCATCACCTCTGTGTGCACTTAAGCCGCCTGCACACTAGACGATTTTAAGGCCGATTTTAAGGGGGGAGGGGGATCTTCTATTGTGTGGTGTCATTACGATTATTTAACTGTTCCCGATCGAGATGGAATGATTATAAGGTTAAAACTGTCTTCATGTCTGTGGTCTCCCATGGTTTTAAAATCGGTTAAGATTTGAAAATTGTCTAGTGTGTGGCCAGCCTTACTCGTGACTGCATCTGAGATGTCCAATCCTGCTCCTGGACGACCACCTTTCAACAGAGTTTAGCTCCAACACACCCGCCTGGACATTTCTAGTAATCCTGAAGACTTTGATTAGCTGGTTAAGGAGTGTTTAATCAGGGTTAGAGCTAAACTCTGCAGGTAGGTGACCCTCCAAAATCAGAGTTAGACAACCTTGGAGAAAAAGAACAAGGTACACTAGAGCAGAGGTAACCAACTGTTTCTAGAGCTACCTTCATGCAGAAGTCAGTTCCAACACAACCTGCCTTTAATCTTCAAGTAATCCTAAACACCTTGGCTAGCTGGTTCAGGGTTGTTTGATTAAAGTTAGAGCAAAATTCTGCAGAAAGGTAGTTCTCCAGAAGAAGGGTTGGCTACCCTTTCAGACCAGTGGTTTTCAGTCCTGGAGTATTGTATCACTGCACATTCTGGATGTCTTTCTTTACCACATTAGCTCATTTGTAAAGGTTCCAAGACCTGAACTGTTTCAGATAAGGAGACATCCAAAACGAGGTACTTAAAAGGATGGTTCTCCCAAGAATGAAAATTTTGTCTGCATTTACTCACCCTCATGTTGTTCCAAACATTGGATGATTACTTTGAGTAATCATCAAAACCCAAATTAAGATACTTTTCAGTGAGTTTTCTGTCCCTCCATTGAAAGTCCAGGAAAGCAAAAAGATCCAAAAAAGGTCATAAAGGCATGAGGGTGAGTAAATAATGACAGAATTTTCATTTTTTGGATGAACTATCCATATAAAGGGATAGTTCACCCAAAAATGAAAATTCTGTCATTAATTACTCACCCTCATGTCATTCCAAACCTGTAAGACCTTCGTTCATCTTCGGAACACAAATTAAGATATTTTTGATGGAATCTGAGAGCTATCTGACCCTCCATAGACAGCAAGGATATTACCATGATGAACGCACAGAAACGTAGCAAGGACATCGATAAATAATCCATGTGACATCAGGGGTTCAACCGTAATTTTACAAAGCTACGAGAATAATTTTTTGCGCAAAGAAAACCATAATAACATAATTTATTCAGCAATTCTTCTCCCCGAGTTACGTCTTCCACCATTTTGGAGAGTACCCCAGAACGTAAATAAACAACACTGATTACAGTCAGCGAAAGCACGTGCATGCTGAACGTAAACAACGCTCATTACGTTGATTACGTTCTGGGGTACTCTCCAAAATGGCGGAAGACGGTAACTTGGGGAGAAGAATTGCTGAATAAATTATGTTATTATTGTTTTCTTTGCGCACAAAAAGTATTCTCGTAGCTTCGTAAAATTACGGTTGAACCCCTGATGTCACATGTACTATTTTACCGATGCTACGTTTCTGTGTGTTGATCGTGGTAATATCCTTGCTGTCTATGGAGGTTCAGAGAGCTCTCAGATTCCATCAAAAATATCTTAATTTGTGTTCCGATTATCAATGAAGGTCTTAGGGGTTTGGAACGATATGAGGGTGAGTAATTAATGACAGAATTTTCATTTTTGGGTGAACTATCCCTTTAAGGACAAGAATTGACAAGTATGACATGACAATAAGGGTGAAAATAAAAGAAGGAAACCTTGAGGTTCTCAAGAGTGCTTTAGATGCCACTGGATGGAATGGAGTGGAGAAGACTTCAACAGGTGTGAACTCCAGGCTGGTTAACTAGATGACGACACGACCAAGTCAAGCTCTTTTGCATCTTCCTGACCACTGGTGAGACCACAGCTCCCAGAGAGCTCGGGGAAGTGGCTGGCCCTGCCAGAAGGAACCGGTGAGCCGGTAGACTGGTTGACCCCCTGATTTTTAGGAGGAACAGGGGGTGGATGAATCTTCTCCGCCCTAGGAATTATTGGTGAGCGGATCCCTGGTGAAAGAACCCCTGGGCTCTTCCCTGTCGGCGAGGAGGCTGCGGCCAGGTTGCGGTAATCAGTGCCAAAGGGCGAGCTGTTGGACGGAGGGAGTTTAATTGTTGCTTGTTGGCTCGTGAACCGTGACAGCACCTGAGTGACAGTGTTGCGGGCAATCTGTTTTGCAGTAGAATTGTCTGGAGTAGTAGGAGCAGCCGCAGTAGGAGAAAGGTCTCGAGGTGAGTGGACAACGGATGCTCCGTGTTGCTGCTCTGCCTCAGCTTGCTGCTGAAACTTGTGGCGTGCTGCTTGGAATCGCTGGTTGATGCTGGCCTGGTAAGAGGATGGATAGGTCGGACTAGAGCAACCTATAGAGGCCAGACGCTTGGTCAGTACTGGGGAAGAGCAAGGAGATGAGCTAAGGGAGGACGAGGCAGGACTGCTTGGGGAGAGACACTGCAAGGCTCCACTTCCTCCAGGGAGTACTACCCCATTGTCCACCGATCCCACCTCCTTGCACCTCTCGTCTGCTGGAGACTCTGGTTCTCTGGGAGTGTGGTGGCCATTTAGGTTGGGTTGCGGAGATGATTTAGATGCAATGGCTTTGCCATCGACTTCTGTTTGACTAAGAGGAGGCATGATCCCTGTGGTTTTTACATTTTCTTCATTGTCCTTTTCCAGTCCTGCCGTTTCTCTTTCTTTCATTTCATCCAACTCTTTTTTTAGGCTATTGAACTTCTCCAAAAGCTCCTGATATCGTTTTTCTTCCTTCAGTAGTTTCCCTCTCATCTGTTCGCGCTCTGTATCCAATTCGGCCAGCTTTCTCTCAGCTCTCGCCTCCATCTGCTGAGCATGAGCGCGTTCGCTCTCCAGCTCCCCCTTTAGGGTTTTGATGGTACTGCTTTCCTGTTCCAGCTGGCGGCTGAGCTCTGCAACCCGCTGGCTCTCCTCCTCTGCCCGTGCTGTAGCCTTCTGACATTCTTTCGCCAGTGTCGAGGATAACTGTTGCTGCTGCGCTAAATCCTCCTCAGCTTGATTCGACAGGACTGACCGCTCACGTTCTAAACGCTCGACTTGAGCCCTCTCAAACTCCAGCTGTGAAGAAGAAAAGCAAGAGATGTCACTTCAAAAATTCGAAGATATTAGTAAAGTCAGAGGGAATAACACTACACAGACAATATTGAAGATGAATTATACAACTGTTCTTGGAAATATCTTGTTTACTTGCTTCTTCCTGCCTCAAACAATACTTATGAATATATTTAAGACTTCAGGACCCTATGAGCTACAGAATGTGTGAGAGCCATGGTCAAGCATCCAAAAAAATAAGTGTGTGAGAGTGTGTGTGTGTGTGTCTGTGTGTATGTAAGAGAAACTCAGGCCAGGGCAGGGCAGGAAGGGCCTTTTACATAATACTGCAGTCTGTACTTTGACCTTAACATCACCTTATCCTAATCCCATAAAAACACAAAAACACAATGGAATGTCTTCGCACACACACAGAGGTGGACGAACTCTTATGCACCACAGTCCATAAAACAATGGAGACTTTCCTCTGTAGAAAAGACATCTGTGGCAACAGTTACACAACAAAGCCACACAAAATCTGCTGGCACAGGGTGCTGTGATTGCTTTTATTTTGCAGTTTATGTTGTATTTATAATGCCACAGTTTGTGCATGTGTATATATGTTTTGGTGGCATTGCCTGGTTACCTGTTGCAGAAGTCTGTCTCGTTCCTTCTCCAGCATGGCAGTGATGTCATCACCCGCAGCATTGTCTTGAGCACGCCGTCGTTTCTCTTCTTCTAAATCTGCTATTACCTACAGGCATACACACATTCAAACATCAGGTCAAGAAAGATGACTAATTATGACTGCACCACCTAATAAACAGTGGGCATATATTATTTCATTTGAGTTAATGACGTTTGAGTCACATTAAATGAGTCACATTATTTTTCTTATGTTTATGAGCATAATTATCATAGAAGCAAAAAAAAAATAAAGAGTGTCTGGTCAGAAGATCAAGCATTGTTATTCAGAGATCTGCTCCCTTTCAAAATAAGATTTTGGATTAATCTTTCATATAATGTTTATGAAATAAATAAAAACTTTTTTTTCTTTCAAAGAACTGAATGAACCAGTTCCATAAGCATACATATGTATTTTCAATACATGCACTCAAGCTCTGTTCCAAAAGCTTGTGAGCTAGTCTACTGTCTATAGAGGCAGCTACCTTCAAACCCAGCATCCAAAGTGACTGATTAAAGTGACATTAATAGCACTCCTCACTAGTTTTAACACCTACAGCTGTTTAGCATTACCACACTCCTAAAAATGTGACCCTAGACGACAAAACCAGTCATAGCCAACAATACATCGTATGGGTCAAAATGATCAATGTTTCTTTTATGCCAAAAATCATTAGGATATTAAGTCAAGATCATGTTCCATGAATATATTTTGTAAATTGCCTACCATAAACATATCAAAACTTAATTTTTGATTAGTAATATGCATTGCTAAGAACTTCATTTGGACAACTTTAAAGGCGATTTTATCAATACTTTGATTTTATTGCACCCTCAGATTCCATATTTTCAAATACTTGTATATCGGCCAAATATTGTCCTATCCTAACAAACCATACATCAATGGAAAGCTTATTTATTCAGCTTTCATATTATGTATAAGTTTAAATTTTAAAAAATGACCCTTATGACTGGTTTTGTGGTCCAGGGTCACAAATAAAAGTACTAAGATGGAGGTTTCATAGCGAAGCCATAGAATAACCATTTTTGGTTCTCCAAAGAACCATTTTAGTGAACAGTTCTTAAAATAACCATTTTCTTGGTGTTTAGAATATTTTCAAAATCTACACATCCTTTTTTCACCATAAAGAACCTTTTGTGGAATAGAAAGATTTCATGGATTTTAAAGGTTGTTCATGGAACCACAGGTGCCAATAAAGAACCTTTATTTTGAAAAGTATAGCCTTCACATAGGAGTCTAAAAATACAGCCTAGGTAGGTAGCTCAGATCTCAGTCTTTGTCTCTCACCCGTCTGTGTCTCCTCTCTGCAGCAGCGAGCTGTTTCATCATTTTCTCCTTCATGTTGGTGCAGTGGGCCATCACTAGCTTCAACACGCCCAGCGGGTTCAGACACACGGGACTCTGCCCTCCATCATCCTGAGCCTGCGACAGCTCGCTGTCTCTCAGCAGTGCTATGAAGGGGTCACGGAGGTTGTAATGTCCATATCGCTCTTGTACAAATGCATCTCTCTGTTGTGCCTAAAAAATGTCAAAGGTAGATAGGAAAAGATAGGAATAAGTAACTGGTTTCTGTTGTGATTATACAGCAAGTTCACAGAATGACTGATTAATACCTTACATTATGTTTGCAAATGGGCCATGTGTTTTTATGAGAGACATAAAGAGAAAGCAGGATTTCTAAACACATCGTGATGCAATTACAGCTGGTCACTATCAGATCTATTTTCACAAAACATAATCGCAGCCCTGACCCCCACCCTGACCCCTCCTCTGCGGGCAGGTGTTAAACCTCCCCTGGGCTGAAGGGATGGAGAGGGGGGCTCACACCACAAAAGGCCCAGCTGTAGGAGGTGTTGTTCACTACTCATTGTGCATGTGTGCGCTTGTGTGAGGGATGAAACGGGGGGCAGTGTGACTAATTTAGGAGGGATGGGGTGGTCTTACTAAACAGATCAGCAGATGGGAGGCACACACACACACACACACACACACACTAAATTCAGGACTGGAATAGACATGTGGTTTATGTTCTGGGTGACACACATGCTGCATCCTGCTGTATTCCTCTGACCTTTTCATGCTGTTCTACTAATACTACTACCACTATTAGTCAACATTTAAATTTCATAGTATTGTGTGTAAAAGTATTGTGAATATATATATATATATATATATATTGAGACTTGCTAAAAATTACCTTTATTTACATACAGAAGCAGCGGTAGATCTTCTTCTATGGTGACATACATTTGAGTAAAAGGGATTATCAAAAAAGTAAAAATTGTAGCTTTCTGACCCTGCATAGACAAGGGAACTACCATTCAAGGCCCAGAAAGGTAGTAAGGACAGATAAAATAGTCCATGTGACATCAATTTTATGTTTCTTTGTGCGCAAAGAAAACAGGGTCTATGGAGGGTCAGAAAGCTCTCAGATTTCATCAAAAATATCCTAATTTGTGTTCTGAAGATGAACGAAGGTCTTACAGGTTTGGAATGACGTGAGGGTGAGTAATTAATGACAGAATTTTCATTTTTGGGTGAACTATCCCTCTGAGCTGACTAAACGATTGGTGAAGTCTGGCATACATCATCAGAGAGAAGTCTGTCATTTCACTGGAAGATCCAGTTGTTATTTTGATAAAAAATGACATAGGTCAATAAAAAAAAGATATGCACAGATGAATTGTTCACAGTAAGTTAACAACACGTTTAGAAAATAGATAGGGTGAATATTAATTCAATGCCAGCTTTTACTTTACATCATATGATGAAGGCAAAGGTCATCTAAATATAAAAATAAATGGAATTACAATTAAATGCACATTTACAAACTAATATGCCATATTGGTGAATTCCGATAAATAAAAAATGTCTAATATCCAATATGATACTGTGAATTACAGGCGAAGAATCATGATCTCATCAGGCTAACGTGTCGTGTACATGACGCATACACATTTGGAATTTTCATGAGCACGCCTTTGTGTCCTCCTTAAACACACCAATGCAAACAAAAACTAAGACTTTTATCTGCTTGATCACAATGCATGTGGGAAAGAAAGTAATATTTAACCAACCAGACTTCAAGAGACCTCAGCTTCCGCCGTTTGCTGGTTATTATCTGTGATCATTCAGTCTAAGACTCAAAGTCTTCTAATAACACAGAGAATCACAGAGGGTGTGGTGTGTACTGGGTGTGAACATCGGCATATTGATCAGCACAATGCGGCAGATGTAACAACAACAACCATTTAAATCCAGGCTGTTAACTCTAACATACATTTTCTGTTTCTCAGTCTCTCTGTATCAAGCAGAAATTCATATTGTACTTATGTCTATGATGAAGCAGTGTGAGTGTGTTAAGTGTGTCTCAGACCACCAGGCTGGATAGTTTATTTGTTTAACTTCAGCATTAAGCAGTGTTGCATACTACTCAACATCATTATAGAAAATTACAGTCCATTTCCAGCCCTAGAGGCTTTAATCTGTGGCCCTGCCGGCCTCTGAGTGACCTTATCCAGAGATCAGAGAGAGACACAACTGAGGGAAACAGATGATACAGCGGCAAGACAAACATCACTATTACTACTGTTCATACTACGGGTTATATATTTGATCGAATACACTAATTATTAGATTTTTGGCTGTAACTCACCCTACACAATTTGTGCTACAGACATAAATAATATGATATGAAGAATGATTCACTTTGGCAAAAGAGTAAAGAACCACCTGGAACACTTTAGCAAATGCAAAGCACTGTCCTAGCAACCAATATTTTGATATATACTACAGTCCAAAAGTTCAGGGTCATAAAGATTTTTCAACAAGGATACATTCAATTTATCAAAAGTGGCAATACAACATTTATGACATGAAACTCTAGATGGCGCAGGCTGATGGGTCGTTAATGCAAATTGATGATACTCACAGCATTAAACTACTTGGCACAAGCTGATTGGTTCATGTTACATACGCAGGTTAGCATTCACTAGAGCAGTTCGCACTACACTTTCAGAGATCCTCTGAAACCCTCCACCTTCCCCAGCTTTACCTGTATAGATCTGCTATGGGTTATTATATGATATTTGTGCAACAGCAGTATGTCTTAAATACTCACAGCACTGTATAGTTCCTGTTCTTGCTTTGCAGCAGCAGCAATAATCTACAACAACAACTGCTTTCACCACTGGTAATAATAAGAGTGTTTCTTGATCACCAAATCTGTATATCAAATGAATACGTCTGCTAAATGAATAAATGTAAATGTAAATATATCAGAATGATTTCTGAAAGATCATGTGACACTTAAGACTGGAGTAATGACTGCTGAAAATTCAGCTTTGTCATCACAGGAATAAACTACATTTTAAATAATTGAAAATGGCTATTTTAAATTGTAGTAATACTTTATAATATCTGTTTTTACTGTATTTTGATCAAATAAATGCAGCCTTGGTGAGCATAAGAAACTTCTTACCGACAGAAAACTTTTGAATGGTAATGTACCTTTTTTATTTTACACATCTATATTAAATATTTGAATTCTTTAGTAATATAATAATATTTTTCAGTTGTAAACAAAGCTTTGTTGACTGTCTCTCTTCCCATCCAGACCAGACACACACCCACACAAACAATAACAGTCTACAAGGACAGACAGCACTACACACACCAGCAAATGCCTTTCCCACCAGAAATCCAGCTACTATATTTAGCCCTGTCAGTCTCAAGATGTTTATTTTGAACATACTCATTTTTCTGCTTTCTCTGCACTATTAAAGATTTCACTGTGGATTTACAGTAAATTACTGGCACAGTTGCCATACTTACAGTAACAGCCTATCCCATAATAGCTCTGCAGTTAATTACAGTTCAAGACATCCTGTAATGTAGCAATCACAAAGATTACTTGAGTCAGCACAGTAATTTTTGTTGTACATTTGTAGATGAACTGCAACAGAATCACAACTCAGTAGCCAGTACTTCCTCAAAAGCTGACATACGACTTCAGTTTGTAAAAGAGTTTATTGGTAGAAAAAACAAATGAGAATAGCAGGTTTCTAAACATAAGACATTCAGCTTTAATGATTTAACTTACTATTTTAGCTCTAAATAATAAGTATTTATATAATCCCTTTAAGTCCCACTGCTCATCCAAGGATAATTAATTCGATTATTTACAAGCAGGGGCTTATGGGTATTCCCGCACAGTGGGATCTCAGTGAAGCATGATTCAGTTATTGTAGTTTTTATGGTAATTTTTTTATTGACTAAATATATTATTTTACTCTGTGTGTGTTGCTGTGAGATTAGTAATATATATTCAGGACAGAGCAGGACGCTCTTTGTGCTGTTGCTGTTTTTAATCAAGCTCTTGCTGATCTGAGGCGCTTACCGTCGGAGACAGAGAGGAATCAGGAGACTTCCTGGAAGGAAGTTCACACAGAAGGAATCCTACATCCCTCTAATCAACCCACAAACACACACTCCAGGCAGTTCAGAAGAGCGAGGAACCCCATTGGTTTTCTCTGTGAGTGAGTGTATGTGAGGAAATGAGTCACATTTATAAGGTAAAACACGGGCTAGACATCCTCCCTAGGACAAAACAAACAAACTGGCTTGTTTAGTCTGTTTGGACTGTGATTTTAACTTGGAATTCCCTATTCATGAAATTCCCCTTTCAGAGACCTGTGAACAGACCTGATCTTCCTTTATAAGGCTTAGATGATGAAACAGCGAGTGAGTGAGTCATATTAACGGCTGGTTTACCGTTTTAACCACCAGCCCTCGGGATACTGGCTCCTCCATTACATCAGAATGAGCCATGGGAAAATAACTCAAAAGGAGGAGCAAAAAGCGCTGCAATTGATCTGGAGGCTTCCAAAACCTCTAATGTGATTGACACTGTTCTCCCAGCATGCACTGCTTCACTACTGCCGGGATATACAGGAGATTCTGAGGGAACTGAAGTGACACACACATACATATACATACACACGCACACAACGCCACATTCATGATCAAAGACTCAAGCCCAAAGGGCCTCTCAAGGTTCCCTCTGTGACTAAAGCCCTTACTGCCCAGGAAGAAAGTCAAATGAAGCCTTTAAAGACACTCACAGCAGTAAAAGAGGCACACTTATACACTAAGGCTTTGCTCAGACAGGGAGCAAAAATCTATTTCATAAATCTGCCTGAAATCTGTAGACCGCAAACAACAGCAAAAAAGAACAAAACAACATGTCCATGTGTTATTTGAAATCTGATAATAATCAGGATATTTTCACTATGTATTGAATAGTAAATGCATCAATTAGTCAGTGGTTTTAGACAGATAAATAAGGCAGATGCACCAGACACTGCTGACAATATCCATTCAAGTAGTAGTGAATTTACACTATTGTTAAAAAAATCATTTTATTCATCAAGAATGCTTACAATTAATCAAAAGTGGCAGTCAAACCTTTGACATTGTTACAAAAGATCTGTTCTTCGGAATGTTCTATTTATCAAAAAATCCTGCAAGCAAAAAAAAATAAAATAAATAAAAATAAATAAAAATTGCACACAAAAAAAGCAGCACAATTGTATATCATATTAGAAATATATAGCATATTAAAAGGATTTCTGAAGGACACTGAAATCCAGCTTTGCCATTACAGGAATAAATTTGCGTAAAACACTAACTTGGCTATTGTCTGACTAAACGGTTTCAGACAGAACTGTAAGCGGATCATTTGCAAAATGACCTTAAGATTGAATTTGGAAACCAAATCAGATTTGTGCACAGTGTGAACAAAGCCTATTCACGTGTATGAGATGTTGACTGAACAAGTCGCTGTAAAAAGTACAGATGTGTCTGTAAAAGAAACTATGTATTGTGAATACACTAATATATAACCAAATGTAACTTTCACTTTCAGATCAATGTAGCTTCTCTGTGTTGATTTCAATGTCCCACAAACTAATCTCATAGTCCAGCGCAAAGAGTCAGCAGTTGATCAGCAGGTCACAGTGAGACACCAGCGCAGCTTTAGTGGCTGAGCCCCTCGTCTCATGTTTCCATCTTTCCCACACACACCCCTGAGCTCATGTGAAGCTGCTGTTCTCTGTTATTAACGCCGTGTTAACTCTTTAACTACAGCATCAGACAGAATAATTACAGGCCTAATAAAACACACACACACACACACACACTATATATATCCAGAGGGAACACTGTGGGCTTCTGTTGTGTCAGTATGAGTACACGCAAAAATGAACTACATTTGTTCTAGTTTTGAGGAGTAAAGACTCAATTGAGCACAGCTGATTTAATTTGTGTGCTTATCAAAGCATAAAATGAAATGGAATCTTATGGAGAATTAAGTGAGTAATGATAAAGAAAGCTGTAGGGCTGGGCTCTGTGCTAACACTTGTTTAAGTGTTAAGAAGTAATAACTGTCTTTCGAGATAACATTTTAACAGTAATTTTTTTTAGTTAATATATTATAAATAAAATATATTTATCATATTTTTAATAACTTTAAAAGCATTCAATAATGTATAAAAACATTGCTCTCATATAAAAACATATAAGAAATAACTACCTACATTTTTTGTATGTAGAATGTACATGTTGTCATGTAGTAATTTATAAATCCTAATAGGATGAAGACTGTGCTCATGAATATTATTTATGTTTCATGATGACCTTAATGGCTGAAAGGAAGACGTTGAGAAGTGTGCACTAATCAGACAGCAAATAAATGAATCAAATTATGGCATAGTTCATGAATATTTATTCAATTCTTTGGGAACTTCTGCATGATCTAATTAATATTCATGCAAAAATGCAATTTTTTAGGTGAACTATCCCTTTAATTGATGCATGGTCTGCTCTGGTCCCCGTGATTGTTTTGAAAATCCAAAATAGCAGAAAGTTTTGTGCAAGGGGTTGGTTTAGGGTAAGCGGATAGAAAATACAGTATAGATGTATAAAAACCATTGCATCTATGGAATGCCCCCACAAAAATTGGTGTGTGTGTGTGTGTGTGTGTGTGTGTGTGTGTGTTTTTTACAGGAATAGCACTGCCTGCCATTGTTCTCCTGTCTGCCTCTTTCCTGAGTAGCCCCGACACACTTCCTGTGGTTCCTGACCACTAGTCCACACCAAACACTGATCACATACTGCCTGTTACATAACACAAATCTATACACATACAGAGCTGAGGAGTATGTTATATTCAGAGTATAACATCTGAAATCTCACAACTGCTCAAAATTCACATTTATTAAAGCTGAAATATGTCATTTTTTCAATGCAATGCTGTCTCCTATCCCAGCTTAATATGCAGACACAACTACTGTACAAGTAAGCCTACAGCTAGTCTATAGGTTGTTTTCCCAAAACACTCGCTCTCAACTAGCCCCATGCAGCAACATTAACTTGAGTTTGGGGCAGAGTTTTTGGTTTGTAGGCAGGGTAAGTGCTAAGGAAACTTGTTTGGCCACAAGCTTTGGCAACATGCTAAACCAAGCTAGAAACAAGTTAAAACATGCTAACAATGTGCTGAAATGTGTTAGCAATACCTAATACAATGCAAAAATGTGCTATCAACATGCTAGTTAAAACAACACTAAGCAGCATGTTAATAATATTTTACATTTTTGCATTTAACAGACACTTTTATCCAAAAGAGGAACAAAAGCAATTAGTCAAAGAGCTAACAATAACAGTAATATGCAATGCCAGGTTTATAAGACAACATGCCTTACATTATGCTAGCATCACCCAGCAACGTTAATAATGTTACCAATAATGGTCAACAATAAACAGAGAACTTTTAGCGGTTTCTTTAACATCTAACAGGATTTTAATGTGGTTTCATAGGGTCTGACATTGCCTGTTGTTGTGCATGGTTTCTTAGGGGTCTACTGTGGGGGTCTAAGGTCTAATGTGGTTGTGTAATATTCCATGTATTGCATGTAAAGTTTTCACTAGTCTTTCTGACTTGTGTGTGTGTTGTATGTTGTAACATTGCATGTATTGCATGTATAAAGTTTTAAAGTATAAGGTTTTTACTAAAGTCTTTTTTACTTGTTCTCTGTTGGTTTCTTAGGGGTCTACTAAAATCTAATATGGTCTGAAGTTGTGTAAATTTGCAAGAATTGCATGCATAAAGTTTTCATTGGTCTTTCTGACTTTGACTTTCTGTCCGTCAATCTTAAAGCATTTAAAAGCATTTTAAACATTAATTTTTCATATTTTTTTCTTGCCAAACTTTACTTTAGCTATTCTTGACACAGTTCAGCTATAAATGCATGCATGTGTGTGTGTGTGTGCTCTTACCCTGAGTGTGTGTATGACTACATCTTGTGCTTCCAGTTCTCCTTCCAGAATGCTGAGCAGCATCAGAAGTTCAGCTTTACTGAGAGTCTCCACATTCATCCTGCTGCCCTGTAACAAACAAACAGTTGAATTCAGTATCTGGGCCCTGAAGCAAAACCGCTGATTTACAGGTCTGTCAATATAAGTCAATGTTTTAGCAGGTCATGCACTGTATAACTGTACTGAGACCAATGTAACAGGATCATACCACATACACACACCGATCAATTTCTCTGGCCTAGAAATGCAATAAAGTTCGACACATTTCATCAGTGAATCACTCTTGATCTGAAATGACATTTGTGTGAGTCTGGCATTCATGAACATTAAAACACACGCACAGCAGTGTTCGGCGTCTCTGCATTGTGGCCTGGCTCTCCGTCAGACCACATAAACGCAGGAAGCTATTAGCATATCAGCACAGAGGTCTCCAGTGAACGAGTTCAACTGCTGTACTGTAATGGATTCCCTCAGTCTAGTCACACACACACACACGCATTCAGTGTGTTTGAATGCTCTTGTGAATAATTTCTCTGTTTACTGCAAGTGACACAGACAGATCTGGATTGGGCTGCAGTGTAATGGACGGTTTTTCCTTAACCATTAAGGTTTGGCTTGCTGTGTCTGGGTTCTTATTTCCATTTATGTTGGAGTGTGTGTGAGCAGAAGGACAGAGGAAAACCTGCCAAACACCAAAACACAATCTGTGTGACCACTGATTTATAAAATATTTGTGCGAATTATGATCATTCTGTATAATTACTCCCTTAACCCACAGCTGAACATCATCATCATGACCATATAGTCACTTCATACAACAACATTGTCCGATTGAATGACTCTAAGGGTGTAGAATAATTTTCATAACTGCACAGTTAGTTTCAGGTTTGATGACCACATTGCAGCTGCATATAATTTTGCCACATTGTTTCCAGACAATATACTTAATTGGTTGCATAAGGAAGTAGTTCTATACACCAGAGCATTTTAGGTACAAAAAAAACAAAAAACAAAAATGTGTTGTGATAAACATATGTAGTAACTGTGGTATAATTGATGACGAACAGAAAATTAATGCACCTCTCAAGTGTAACATCCACTACACTTCATGTTGTGGCTTTATTAGCATTAGAGGGGTCATATGATGCTGCTAAAAAGAGCAGTATTTTGTGTATTTGGTGTAATGAAATGTGTTTATGCGGTTTAAGGTTAAAATTTTCCACATACTGTACATTATTGTTTCTCCTCTATGCCCCGCCTTTCTGAAACGCGTCGATTTTTACAAAGCTCATCGGTCTGAAAAAGCGAGGTGTGCTGTGATTGGCCAGCTATCCAGTGCGTTGTGACTGGCCGAATACCTCAAGCGTGAGACGGAAATGTTACGCCCCTCACCATACTGTGATGATGCCCTGTCAGGCCGGAGCGATGATTCAAAAACAATAAAACCCATTATAAACGAGGCATTTGTTGCATCCAGTGGGGACATAATTAAGGATTATAATGACTTATACTGTCTTTTTACGCGTTGCGTTGCGCCGCGTAAACATAAAACCCTGTCTGCATTTGTGATCAGAGAAATGACAAACAACAAGTGCTACTCTAAGCTTGTAACACTCCAAAGAGAAAGGAAAAATTGAAATCGCATCATATGACCCCTTTAATATTCAGAACCATTACCAGTTATCCCTTACATAGTACCATTCAAAAGTTTGGGTTCTTGTATGATTTTTTAATGTTTAAGTTTCTCCAAGGCTGAATTTATTTGATCAAAATTACAGCAAAAACTGTGATATTGTGAAATGTTAATACAATTTAAAGTAACTGTTTTCTATTTTTATTATTAATATTTTAGAATGCAATTTATTCCTGTAATGGCAAAACTGAATTTTCAGCATCATTACTCCAGTCTTCAGTGTCACATGATCCTTCAGAAATCATTCTAATATGCTGATTTGGTGCTCAAGAAAAATTTCTTCTTATTATCGACGTTGAAAACAGTTGCGCTGCTTAATATTTTTGTGGAAACCATTTTTTTTTAGGACTCTTTGATGAATAGAAATTTCAAAAGAACAGCATTTATTTGAAAAAAATTTTTTTCATAACATTACAATTGTCTTTATTGTCACTTTTGATCAATTGCTGATTTTTTTCTTAATTTCTTAAAAAAACCTTACTGACCCCAAACTTTTAAATGGTAGTTTATATAAAATAATGTAGAATATGATATGTTAGGAGGGATTGTTTACTGATGTGCATAAATCACATCAAATTTTTATCACATAGCTTTAAAACCTTTCACAAGAACTTTTTCAATCAATCCCAGCATCAAAAACCTATACATAAAGGTCCTTTAGGTGTTTTTTCCCTAAGACAATTTAATGAGATCACTTCCTGATATGATTCAATTTGGTTACACGGCAGTGTGTTACTAGGATGACAAGTATGCTATTTTCTTCCTTCTATTGAATAGAAAGTTACACAGCTTGACCAGACTTAATATAATCTCAGGGCAATGATGTCATCCAGACATTACTATCACACTGCGGATGGGGGCTGTTTGTAGAGCCAGAGTATGTGTGTCTGTCTGTATGTGTGTGTTAAAACTGGAATTCACTTTTATAACTCACGCAGTATTACCACTGGAGTCTGTGATCCAACCGGAGTGTGTTTGTGTGTATGTGTCTGCTTACACACTGATTTGATAGGCTATACACTTAATATTTGTGTTAAACCATGGATACAGAAACTGCTGTTTGCTTAAGAGTTGTATGTTCGTTTTTATGATATCGTTGACTGATGCTTTTATAAATTGCTCTGGTATTAATGGTGTGACCACATCGCATGCAAACGAATACATAAACACTTACACAGACATAGACACAAACCGCCTGAAACATCTTGTGTTTTCAGTTCGTGTGTATAGGGTCGGTTAACCCATTATTTACATCCACTCAATCTAAATAGGAAACAGACTGCATTATTATTCCCGTAGGAATCTTCATCCTGCAGCATCCGGTAAAAAACACTATCCGTGCAGATCACAAGTGCATCCTTCCTGCCTTCATTTCCTCTCAAGAGGACCTATAAAAGCCACACACACTGAAGCTAACAACCTTCCAACAACAGAATCTTGAAAATATTTGAAATAAAATATGGTTCTATCACTATTTGGATTAGGAAATACTGTCTGTCATCATTTTATGTTTTATCAAAATACCAAATCTGCAGATCACTGGCTGTCACATCAGTTGGACTTTTGTTTGGTTTATTAAACACAATTATATATCAGGTCATTGGAACCAGAGTCCTCTTGCATGCTAAACAAAACCTGTACCACCAGACTAACATATTTTTTGTTCACACCATGCTGGTTTCGTCTGGCCAGAGGAGAACTGGCCCCCCGACTGAACCTGGTTTCTCTTGCTCCATTTCTGTCACTGATGGAGTTTTGGTTCCTTGCCACTGTTTAGTTGGAGTTCACTGTTCACTTGCTTAGTTGGAGACACTTAATTTCTGGCAAAATTGTCAGCTTGATTGCAGAGCCACTATTTGAACTGAGCTGGACGATGATCACTGAATCAACAATGAACTGACTTTAACTGAAAAACTGACTGTTTGTTATTGTCCTCTTGCATTATTGACACACTATTTTTCTGTTTCACACTGTAAAGCTGCTTTGAAATCTGTATTGTTTAAATCGCTATATAAATAAAAGTGACTTGACTTGGCCTGTTGTTTTTTCTTTGGTTAGGCCTATGTCTTATCTCAACTAGCCAGGACTCCCACTGGTGCCCACTCAAAATTTTTAAAAAAAAGAGCATGACGCCCCTGACTGTGGCTGTAATGTGTAGGTCAGATGGAAAAATCTAGTTTTCTGCCTAAAGAATCTTGTCTAAAGAAACCTACGCCAGGCTGTAAATAACAATTACACAAATACCACATTTGACCAAGAACTGCATTCCAGAAAAAGGAAACATAACTTTAAACTACACATAGGAGAGAGGACTCATTTCATTGAATCTTCATTACAGCAGTCAAGACCTGAGAGAATGAACACAGACTGAAATTTAAGCCATTACTTTATTTATGAGAACCAGATCAGTCTGATGTGTGAACAAATCATTTAGACCATTGAGTTACCGAAATCTGAAAAAAATTGGCACACAACAACGATGAGCCATCGGTTACACATTACACTCTAAAAAATGCTGGGTTAAATACAACCCAGTGCTGGGTAAAATAGGGACAAACCCAGCAATTGGGCTGTTTTGACCCAGCGGTTGGGTGAAAAGTTTAACCCAACCTTCTGGGTAGTAACCCAACCACTGGGTCAAAACAACCCAATTGCTGGGTTTGTCCCTATTTTACCCAGCACTGGGTTGTATTTAACCCAGCATTTTTTAGAGTGTAAGTACACCGATCTTGATTAAATCAGTAACAGCTGCAGTGAGAAACAAGGCTATTTAACAGCATAATATTTAACTACTTTATATAATAAAGAGAATAATAAGGCTATGAGTGCGTGAGACAGTGAGAGAGAGAGAGAAATTATAGAGAAAGAGTTACTGGCTTTGTTGCCAGTTTGCTGCTCCCAAAACCAAATGCACACCAAGATTTTTGAAGCCAATAAATCTCTTGTATCACTACAACATTCAGATACATATATTTTCACATTTGTGTGGTCACATTTATCATTCCTCAGCGAAATTTCAAGTTTGAAATCCATTCACATCAATAGAAATTTCAAGTAAAATTCCCCTGCATTGATTTCGGAATGGGTTCAAGTTGGTTGCGTGAATTCACTACGCTGACCAACATAAAACTTCTTTGTCTGAAAGTGACTTCTGTGTGAGCTGTTCTTCATGCATTTCTACACTATTGACAATGGACAATAGCCTTTAATGTGATAGCACCTTAAAAGTTTCATAAAGGATACATTAACTACAGCAAAAGTGTCATCAAAGTGATCAATGCAATTCAATGCATATGTCATATTAAAGCTATTTGTGTGGTACAGAGTGATATTTAAGCCATTACTTTATACTTTATTCTCAAGAACAAGATCAGACTGATTCGTAAACTAATCATTTGGACCAGTTATGTAAACTATTGATTCACTGGAAAGATCAGACGTAAAAGTATGGACCATTTTCATTTCCTGTGATTTTACTTTATCAATGCTTGAAAACGTATAAATGCACTCTTATAAACGCATGGAGAAAAGAAGACTATATCCCATCTTTAAAATTCCTCCTTTTGTGTTCCACAGAAGAAGAAAAAAATTCATACAGTTTTGGAATGACATGATTATGAGTAAATAATGACAACTAGCCTATTATTTTGTTTGAACTTCCTTTAAAGCATCTGCTTATGTAAGAACAGAGCTTTTTCTCTTCCCTCATCTCACTGAAAACTCACTGAACCTCAGACTTAACCCACAGCTGATGAGGGCAATCCTTAAAAGAAACATCAGACCACAGCATAATGTCAGCTTGCTTAATGAATCATTAGCAGTAATGAGAGAGCGGGACATGTGTCAGATGGGTGTGTGGTTCACGGCACCGCTCTGATGCTGTAACCCCACATTAAACCTGTAAAGGCCCAATAAAACCATTATCTGGCAACAAAACACAATCTTCACACAGCCACAGAGAGTGTGAGAGCGGGAAAAAGAGAAACACTATATGGATTACACAGACCGAAAGGAATTCCAGGAATTCACACCCCCCACACACACATTAATCAAATATTAACAGAAAGAGACTCCAGACGAGACTGTAATGCATACTAATTCATCTTGACTATATTAACAGCTGATCCAGCATCTGCTTCTCCCTGTCACTGATACATCTTATTAACGACTTGCAAATTCAAGATTCTGAAGCAGTATTCAGATCATAGACAACAAAATATCACCGTGCAGAATGATTTCACAATGGGAGCTATTGTATAACACTTGCATAAAAGCAGACTGCAGTGATTTGGCACATTATAGTAAACCAAACCCGTTAACCCAGCTCAAATGAGGTCAATATACTGTATCCTAAACTCTAAACTCAACCCTTTCCCCAGGGTAAAGAGTCAAGCTGGACTGAAGCGCCATGTTTTTTACTGAGCATAGCTTCCTCATTGCTGCAGATTTGCGGTTCTGAAGTAAATTTGTATAGGATGGGACTCAAACAAACCACCCAGTGGTTACTAAGGTGACAAACCATGACTTCAGACTTCTGCTGTCATTGACATTATTGCTAAAAAGATCATTCCAGCACTTTCTCATTTGCCCTCAATGTTTGTTGTTCAAAGCACTGATTTACTTACAGCTACTGAAAACCAAAATCCTCAATCTTTGACGTTATATGGGCCACATTCTCAAACTGAAGGAAAACTGGCCATTAACTGGATACATTAGACCTACAGGAAAATCTGCAAAATGAAGCAAGCTCTTCTTTGGTGTAATTACGTCCTGACCCGAGAGAATGTCTTCAACCCAGCTCTCAAGTGACTGATTCTGACATGCCAGTCAAAACAGAGCATTTCACTGCATACAGGCTAGACCACATTTTTGATCTTCAACCACTGACAAACACTCACACGTCTGCTCTTTAAAAATCACTGCTTGTTTGATTCAAATAAACACATCAACTGAGCGATTACATTCAGATTAACATTTGAACAAATGTGTCCAAATCTCTGGCAAACATATTTGAAAGCATTTCTCATTACGGAAAAAAAAGTGTTAGCAGATTCTTAAACACTGGCACAAAAAATGCTACAAAACAAAAATAGAATAAAGTTAAGGATCACGGTCACGGATAAACACTATATGAGCTAGTTAAACTCATAGTAAGTGAAAATGGGAAGAGGATGCGTATTGGTACTTTGTACAGATATTATGTACTGTATGTGCAAGTTTATACATTCATTTTTTCATAAATATCTGGTGTTGAAAAAGTACACACACAGATATAGCCTTATAAGATATAATAAATAAACAAACCTATATATTTTATATCTAGTACATTTACATTAGTAATAGTTCTTTAAAATATACACATTTAACAGTTTTTTAAGTTAATTCACACATGATCTGAGGACACAGGTACAGTAATGTCATAATTTTGATAAAATAAATAGAAAAACAAATGAAAGAATCCCTTGTAACACAAATATACCATCTCTTGTTAATTTTCCAAGTGAAAATGTTGCTGTTTTAGGAACTAATAATAGCAGGTGATGATCTGTCCCATGTTTTAAGAATCAGTGCATGGTTAATCTTTTATAAGCTGCGTGATTAGAAATAAGAGCCATAAATCCAAGCACTGTTCAGCAAAAAGCACTTCTGCGGATATCAGGTTTCCTGTTGGACACAAAGCTTTCCTTTCAGTGTTTAAAAAAATCACCCTAAACATATGGAACATTTCACATGTGTCTAAACTGGCAATCAGTGCACTTCTCAAATATGTGAAGAACCAACTATCAGATGTCTGACATCAGCCCGGTACAAACAGAAACAGGCACAAAAGCATTTAGTGAACATACAATAAGGATCATACAACTAAGTATCTAGTTGTATCTAAATCCATAAAAACAAGTCTAGTAAGGCTGTACTACGTGCATGAGTATGAAAGAATACTGTGTGGCTTAGAAATCAATGTTTATCATATTTAAAACCGATGTGCACATGTCATAATAATAGCGAGATAATGTACTGGAAGTCTATCCTGGGATCTGAGATTCACTCTTCCACTCCAGCACGCTCTCCAGATCACATTCACGCCCTCTATCATTTCCAAAAAAGAAGACATAATTCCATGAAGTATTAATTTTATTACCTTCATATGTGTTTTTGTTCGCTCATCAGTCCTCGCGGTCAGAATTATCCCAGTTCACGGAGTTATTTCTCACTTTCGCTGCTGCTGTCTGTGCTACTGTCCCGGCCGAAAATATGGACCGCTGCCACTGACAGATCGTTCAGCCAATAGGCGGAGACCACTTGCCAGAATGGTCCGTTCGGATTGGATGTTAAGATGTAAGGGGAGGAGCTAAATAAGCTTAGGTTCAGTGCAGTCTATGGCTCAGTGTCTTTGTCTACGGTTGTTTGTTTTACATGCAGTTTATTGTAGTGATTTGAGCACATTACAGTTCAAATGTCAGTGTCTCTTTATTTAAGGTACATTTGATTTTAATTTGCATTGATATCTATGGACACATTCCTTCTTTGTGAAGGTAAATGTTTTTCAGACATTCATGAAATATTAATGGCAGGATTGTATATGTCTAAAATGTAAAACATGCTTACTTTTTATAAAAACTAAATATTGATGATATTTTCAAATGTAAAAACATGTATACATTTCTCAGACCCGATACGTATTACTCTCTAATGCACCGGATGTGTTTCTAAATACTGTCTAGCTATTAGTAATAATGAGTCATGGCAAAGGTGAGCTAATAAATGCGCCTTTATTTGAATTTCAGTGAGTGTTAATGAGCTCCTCCTAACCTCATCCATGGCGCCCCCTCATGGACACAAACAGAAAAACACATCAAATGACATAGTTATGAAAAGCAGTTTCAAGCTGCCTTTTGGAAAAAGTGACTGGCAGGATATTAATTTCACCCCAGGAATATTCATATACTATCCATAAAACAGCTAGTTACTAGTCACAACTTGCACAAGCATGAAGTCACCAGTGCAGCAGGCATATGGAATATGAAACAGCTTACATTCAGCGGATGGAAATTTTCCCATTACATTGATTTTGTCAGAAGAAAGATGATCTGAACACTGATGTGTAAGCTGTGGCATTCCTTTGGCCTTACATGGCTTGCCCATCCACATCCCTCTGATCCCGATATAAATGGTATAAAATCTTTTTAGAGAATGAAACATTTTCTTATGAAATTATATGATTTATTTTAATAAAATACATCATGGAATATAATTGTATATGGGTATAACAGAGAAATTATAGCTACACAGTTAGCTTCAAGCTACATATGACAATTAATGAGAATAATACAACACTTTTGTATTTTGTGTTTGTAATAACTTGATCCAATGTGGATTTTGGTCAAATGATGAGGCAGAAATATATTGTAAGTAACATTTTAGAAGAATTTTATGGAGAAGATATATACAACTTATGTGGGACATGAAAGAAAAGTAATGTAACAAGTAATTACTGTTGCCAGGAAGTAATAAGTAGCCTAATAATAATATTAATTTTGAAAGGAGTAACTAGTAATGAGTAGGTTATATATTACATTTTTGAGTAACTAGCAATGGCACGCACTGTATTAAGGTCTTAAGTAACTTTCACAACTCAACAACTGTTTTCAAAAACTGTTTTATGGAGTTTTGAAAGACATTTCTTTAGCGGAATAATCAGTGAAATCCTATCACAGCCTCATTTTCATTCCTGTCAAGAAATTAAATATTGTGCTATCCTGACTAGGTCTAATGTTTTTGTTGTTGTTGTTTTAAACTTTGTGAGTTTGTATTGAGATTCATCACTGTTTTGGCTTTTTGTTTGACGAGACACATTTACGTAGGAAGGTGGGAAAGTGTTTTCATATTATTTAAGTTGGCCTGAATGAGTGCTTGTGGTTTGTGTGTAAGCTGGTCTGGCTCGTGTGGTCACCGCGCTATTCTTCTCATGCATGAAATTGTTTTGAATTGCGGTTCAATTGAGACGCGGTGAAATGGATAAAAAAGATGCATTTATGTATGCAAATGAGATGTGTTTATGTGCGTAATTCCCCACTGCGCCCTGGCCTCTGTATGTGTGTAATGAAAAAGATTTCATTATCATCATTCAATGCTTTTCTATAAGCTATTTGGATGCTGTTGAATGTCACAATGGTTTTAGGCCATCTGTAATGAGGATATTTGCAAAGCACTTCCCTCGATAACAGAATTATGCGTGTGTGTGTTGCTGTATGCTCATATACGTGTCTTTTCACTCATTTTCCTTTCATTTGTTTGTCTTTAAAGCCGCCTGTGTTCTGTTACTATTGTTTGGTTTGTTCTTCATTTCCCTCTGAGATAGAGATGGCGTGAGAGAGAAAGACAGAGAGATATCCAATAAAACAAATGAGTTGCCCTTCTGGTCGTGATCTCAGTTTGAAAAGAAATAAAAACAGACAGGAGACACTGCTGCTGCCAGTATCGACTAACCAGGCCATTTGTCTGTCATCCTCAGAGCTTGTACACTAATAGATTCCACTCAGGATCTTTAGCCCTTTGTTTTCACTCTCACACTGTGTCTCTATCTGTCTCTTTCTCTCTGTGTGAAGCTGTTTTTTCCCCTCTTTCTCCCATATCACTTGGCTGTCATGACATCACTATTCCACACCAGCTGAAGCCACACACACAATTACACAGATATGATGAATAATAGCACAGCCACTGTGCAACTCAAAATAAGTCATTCATTATTATCATTTACATTTTCATCAAAACTGAAATTTTCATGTGAATAAATTCAATTTATATAATTTTTTTTATTATCTTACATCCTCATAATAATTTTCATACATGGAAATCCTATTTCTTTTATCAGTTATCTTTTATTACACAAATTTAACTCATTAACAAATTTAATTCATTTAGAATTATTTTATTACAAATGTAATTCATATTTATTCAAATTTAAATAATTCAACTACTTTGGAGGTTGATGTTGGCATATTTGCCATATCCTGTTCCTTCTTCAAAATATATTTTTTTTTCAGGTGAAATATTTTTAATAAATTTCTATAGTTTCAGTATCACTCCATCCTGCTTTTTTGCATCAAATTATCAAAAGATGATTACAATTGATCAAATCCAGACTTTGACACATTTTATATTCATCCTGCTCATTTTCTTGCCATTGTAAATAGTAATAATTGAAAATAAGACAAAAACAAATATTGCAAAATAAACTTTATCAAAGGTGCTAAAATAGCTAAAAAAAAATTTTTAAAAAGGGTAATTTTTCTTTTTGTAATTTGTTGACTGCAACTGTGATTTTTAACAACCAAGGTTTGAATGGACATTTTAAAAGTGTGATTTTTAGACTGTGAAGCATGACAAAAATTAGTCAAATTAATGGACATTTAATGCATGTAAAATTTGTAGTAATGTTAAGTAATGTCTAAATATTTTATGGGGTAGAACTAGCTGAAAACTTGTTAATTATAAATTATAAATAATTTAAAATAATCTTATCCTGTAATCACAAACAAAATGAATACATAATTTAATCATTTTTATAATTTATTTATTTAATATATTTAATTATTTAATACATTGACACTGTCAGTTTCTATTGAAATGGAATGGAATGGAATAAATAAATAAAAAAATTGGGCAAAAAACAAAGGCAGCAGAAGTACCAGAAACATAGGGGGCTTTTAAATATCACCTTGGACAAAAAGTTGAGAACCACTTGTTTAGTGCCTCAGCTGAGCATGTTTCTAAAGGTCTAGAAATAATTTATTGAATTACAACACAAGCATATTCATTTTTGAACAGTTACAGAGTCCAAGAGAATATACTAGCTTATAGTACAACTAGGATCCTCGGTTACACACTCTCGACACTCGAACAAGAAAAGCATCCCGTGTTACATCATCCCAGTGCTAAACTAAGAGGGCCAAACCTCAATCTGAAACACACTCTCAGCATAAGAACATGATGCTTGAAATTACAGACTGAATCACATCCTACTGAACAATCTATACTTGACATTTGCATAAACCTTGTATAAATGTGCTATCAGATATCAAAATATAATTTCTCTTAGTATTATTTGTGGATTGACTTTAACTAATACACTCCTAAGCAAAGACAAAGGTTGGTACACACACACAAATAAACATTATAATCAGTCATATCTAGTGTTGCAGACTGAAGTGCACACATTGTGTAGGTGTGTGTCTTCAAAGCTCCATCAGTGCCACTTGACCTCCTTTGGATAGACTGATGATGAATGTTACCTTTCTACAGTGTCTCTGTTTCAGTGGAGGTGAGTCACGATGTGTGTGTGAGAGAAAGAAAATGCACAAGTATATGTATATGATGTGAGAGATGTCTGTAGGATTGATTTCCCTTTGATTCACACTTTGCAGCATGAAGTGAAAATAGAAGCTCACAAGCATTTCATACACACATCCAGACAGACACACTCACTCCAAACACATACAGGCACTTGCTACTGCTGCATCCCAATTTAAACACTGTCTATTCTAATTCATGCATCCCAAATCATAGTACATTGAAAATAAGCTATTATAGTGTTTTTAAAATGTGCACTTGTGTGTTTTTTGCAGCTGATATTGTTCACACTGCTCACTTACATTCAAAGAAAGAGGATGAAGAACATTGGCTCTGAAAAGGATTTGCCTATATCCAGTATATTTTTTCTGTGGCCATATGATAGATTTGTGTGAAGAACACACTGAAAAGCATGCTGTTCTTCACTGAAAATGAATAAACATTGCTTGACAGCCATGACCACTATTGAATTGTATGGAAATCATGCAAACTGCTATAAACACTACTTCATAGGTAGGAAGACACGCGGATGAATAAATTATGAAGTTAAATAATGTTTTAAAATGTATGAAATAAAGCAATAATCACTGTAATAAAAATGATTTGAAATACTATTTCATTCTTTCTACTTCAAAATTTCATGTTTTGGTGTGTCTGCTGTTTCTCTGTATTTATTTATGAAATTCACAAGCAATTTCTGAGTGAAAATTGTTTTAAAGGGGTCATATGATGCTGCTAAAAAGAACATTATTTTGTGTATTTGGTGTAATGAAATGTGTTTATGCGGTTTAAAGTAAAAAAAACACATTATTTTCCACATACTGTACATACTGTACACTCCTCTATGCCCCGCCTTTCTGAAACGCGTCGATTTTTACAAAACTAATCGGTCTGAAAAGCGA